AAAACACATTTGCAGATAGAGCCATCGACAATGACACAAAAGTACCCCTGATGAGCCCATTAGGGTATAGTGCAATGGTTGCCTGCGCCTTAGGCAAGAGAAGGCATCAAGTGTAAAGGTGCAATTACATTCAATAGCCCGATAATAACACTCGGGGTCAAGTAATAACATGGTCAGAAAGATTCACAATAACATACAGTATCGACGAAAAACATTCGGTACCGATAAGGCACACAAAAAATTGCAAGGTTCAAGCAGGGCATGAGCCCAGAACTGCCCTCCCAAAGGCCATGTCAGGTGTATACCTGGTGTTCAGTCTGTAATGTGAAACAAATGTCTGAGGATTCTTCCAAATGGCCGCCTTGCAAATAGCGTCCAGGGGAATCCCCTTAAGAAAAGCCGTGGAGGCCGCCATAGCCCTGGTCGACCGAGCCCGGACGACCGAGGGGGGTTGTCTTCGAGCCAACTGGTAACAAAGCTCGATGGTCGAAGTGATCCAGTGCGACAAGCGTTGCGCCGTGATCGGCAGGCCCACCTTATCCGGGGCATATGCAGCAAAGAGTCTCTGAGTCCGTCGAGACTGAGCAGTCCTGTCCTTATAACACAGCAAAGCTCTCCGCACATCGAGCATATGAAGTCTCTTCTCCTCTGGGGTAGAGGGGAGCTGACAGAAGGATGGGAGGATAATGTCCTCATTAACATGGAAGGGGGACACAACCTTAGGGAGGAATGTCACATCTGTGCGGAGAACTGCTCTGTCCTCGTGGACAACAAAGTAAGGTTCGTCCACCCGCAATGCCGCGAGCTCCGACGGTCGTCGTGCCGAGGTGATAGCGACCAGAAAGGCCACCTTCCATGACAACAGCCGAAGATCGATCAACGCCAACAGCTCGAATGGTGGTTCTGCGAGCCGAGCCAGCACGAGGTCGAGGTCCCATCCCGGGGTCGGAGAACGAACCGGGGATGCAAGTTGTTGAAACCCCGTAAAAAGGATTTCACAGAGCTGTCCTTAAACAAGGAGGCTTCACCTGCCCGCTGCAGCTGTCGTGAGATGGCTGCCAGGTGGGACTTGAGAGACGATAGCGACAAACCTCGTTCGGTAAGATGCAGCAAGAACGAGAGGATCGTCGGTATCGAAGGCCGATGGTCGTCTAGGCCCTTCTCGGCGAGAAAAGCCTGGAAGCGGTTGAGGCACGCCGAGTAGCACTTCTTGGTTGCCGGTTTATGGGCTGCCTCCAGGATAGGAAGGACTCCTGGGCACAGGGCTCTTAAAACTGGATCCTCCACGCCGAAAGATGCAGAGAAGCGAGGTCGGGGTGGAGAAGCTGACCGTCCTCTCGGGAGAACAGATCCTGCCGAAGTGGAAGGCGTTTCATCCGCCCCTCGGACACCTGGAGTAGGACCGAGAACCACGGTTGTCTTGGCCATTCCGGCGCCACCAAGATGCAGTTCGTTTGCGCCGACTGGATCCTTTCGATCACCCTCGGGATGAGCGGGAAGGGAGGGAAGAGGTAGAGCAGATGCCTTGACCAGTCTAACAGGAACGCGTCTCCGAGGCATCCCGGTACCGTGTTCGGAGCAAGTCGAGCACCGAACTGAGGGAGCTGAGCGTTTTGCGGCGACGCGAAGAGATCTGCGACTGGAAGGCCCCACTCCTCGAAGATCTTTGCCAGCACATCGGGGTTCAACTTCCACTCGTGAGATGTTGCCCTGGTTCTGCTGAGTGCGTCGGCCTCGGTGTTGCTCTCGCCCGGGAGGTGCAGTGCTGTTATCGACACCGACCTGGCTACACACGAGTCCCAAAGCTCCATTGATAGCTTGAGGAGTTTTCTCGAGCCCGTTCCGCCCTGCTTGTTCACGTAGAACATTGCCACCATGTTGTCCGTGAGAATTTGGACGGACTTGCCGGTAACCAGGAGGGCAAATGCTCTCAGGGCCTTGAATATTGCCAGCAGTTCTAGGTAATTTATGTGGCATTGTCTTTCTTGTGGAGACCAGAGATCGTGAACCGAGAGGTCTCCTTTATGGCATCCCCATGCGAACATCGAGGCGTCCGTCGTGATCGTGACGGCCGGGGGCTCTGGGTGAAAGGGAATGCCCTTGCAGACATGCTGGCGGTTCATCCACCAGCTCAGAGAGTCCTTCACTGGCCTCGGTACCAGTAGGCGCTTCGTGGCACTGTCCCGCATGGGGTTGAAGTGGTCCAAGAACCATCTCTGGAGGGGGCGGAAGCGGAGTCTTGCCAACGGTGTCACCATCACCGTGGAGGCCATGTGTCCGAGGAGAACTTGTATCTGTTTGGCCGAGGTCACCCGAGAGCGACGGACCTTGAGTGCCTCGGCTCGAAGAGCTCTGAATCTCTCCTCTGGGAGGGAAACTGTCTGGGAGAGAGAATCGAACATGGCGCCGATGAATTTTATGCAAGTGGTGGGTTCGAGATGGGATTTTTCCTCGTTCAACTGGAGGCCCAGGTCTTCGAGGAGGGAAAGCGTCCTTGCCACCTGAACTCTCAGGAGGTCCGGGGAGCGTGCTGCCAACAACCAGTCGTCTAGGTAAGGGAAAATGCGAATCTTTTCCCTTCTGAGGGCTGCTGCGACCACCGACATGCATTTGGTGAAGGTCCTCGGTGCCGTCACGAGACCGAAGGGAAGGACATCGAAATTGTATGACTGTCCCGCTACCCTGAAGGCCAGGAAGCGCCTGTGATGTCTCCTGACTGACAGATGAAAGTAAGCGTCCCGGAGATCGACGGACGCGAAGAAGTCCCCGTATCTGAGGAGAGGAAGAATGGACGATACCGTCACCATCCGAAACTTTTGGGGTTCGATGAAAAAGTTTAAGTCTCTGAGGTCGAGGATGGGGCGGAGGGAGCCATCCGGCTTTGGGACAGTAAAGTATCTGGAGAGGCTCGATGGTTTTGGGAGTCCGGGAGAGGAGAGATTGCTCCCTTTCGAAGCAAGGTCTCGACTTCTGACAGAATTGCCGAGGATGGTTCGGTCTCGACAATCTGTCCTGTTGGTGGGAGCTCTTCGAACTCCAATGCATAGCCTTCGTCGACAATCTTTAAAACCCATGCATCTGAGGTGATATTTTCCCATGCAGGGAGAAAGTTCGTCAGGCGATCTCCGAACGGTGTCGAGCCGGATGGAAGAATGAGGGCGGGTACCATTGGAAGGGACATGGGAGCAACATCTGTAACGAAACTGTACACGGTATCGTCCGCAAGGGCGTCAAATGCGGCGCCTGGCTTGGTTGCCTCCTGAGGCCTGGCGAGAACGCGAACGCTGCTGCTGGTGCTGCCTCCGCTGTTGTTGGGGTTGTTGAGGTTGGGTCTGCTGGGAGTTCTGCAAGGGACGGGTCGGATGGCGGTATTGGATGGTACGGTACGGGACCGTGTGTCGGCGCCTGTATTGGAACCATCTGGTTCTTTGTGCCTGGTTCTGATTTTCGAACCCGCACTTGGAGGCCAAAGTCTTGAAGTCGTGATTTGACTTCAACTTGTCATCCGTCCCAGCATTGAAGAGCCCTAGGGCATCAAAGGGAAGGTCTTCGATCACCTGCCTCGATGAAGTTGAGAGGCCAGAGGATCTAAGCCATGCGTGCCTTCTGATTGCCACTGCATGAGCAATCATCTTCCCGGCAGTGTCCCCTGTGTGCTTGGCCATTTGCATCTGGTGATGCGCCAGAGAGTTCGCCTCCTGCGCCAGGGTGGTCATGGCAGCACGATCCTCCTCAGACATCCTCTGGAAGAAAGGTTCCGCCTTTTCCCAGAGGATTTGCTGGTACGCTCCCATGCACGCCCCATAGTTCGCCATGCGGGCCAACAGAAGGGCACCAGAGTAGAGCTTCCTGCCCACGGCGTCGAACCTCTTTCCCTCACGGTCGGACGGCGCCGAGGACTGCCTTCCGAACCCTTGAGCCGCCTTCACGACCACCGAGTTAGGGTCGGGGTGGTGTTTCAACCATTCCAAGCCCTCATCATCAGTCCTGTACCAAGATTCGATTTTCTTGGATGTTGGAGGGATGGATGAAGGGGTCTTCCAGGAGCCTTGAATCACCTCGAGGAGGTAGGGAAGAAAGGGTAGGAGAGGAGCGGGTGGGGACTCCCTCTGTACCCTTTTGAACACAGGGTCCAGTACTGCCTTGGAGGTTTGCTTGACCTCCAGGCCTAGAGCCTCAGCCATGCGAGCCATTTGATCCGCAAAGGCCCGGACATTGTCAGTAGGGGATGGCGGATCAGCCTCATAGGCGTCGTGGGTAGGTGATTTCTCGATCCCGAGAGACAACACCGATCCCGAGTGTACCGATCCCGGCAACTCGCCATCTTCTTCTTCGTCGTCCGCAGCCAAGGATCTGGGAGGCGGGGATGAGGAAACATCCCGACTTGTAAGCTGCAGAGGAGCCACTGGAGGGGCTTTAGAAGCCGAAGCCTGAATGGCACGGGCCAATCTCATAGTCTGTCTGCCCCTTTCTGGAGTCTCCAGCAGTGGAGAAGTCTCCTGTCTGGCTGTCACAGTAGTCAACGTCGTTACCGACGGAAAAAGCTCCTGTCTGGCTGTCACATGGCGAGATGGTGCCTCGATCACCGTGTCCACCGAGATCACCGGGGACTCGGGTTGTTCCAAAGGCTGCTCCGGCGCGGGTTGTGGGACCTGAGCCGGTTGCGGAGGCGGTTGAGGTTCAGCAGGTCGCACCGGCGATGACCTCACGGACGAGGTGGCCGAGGAGGTAGTGGTCTGCTTTCGGGAAGAAGAGGAAGACGAGGATGGAGGCGGCATCGTCTTCTTCTTCTTGGCCGGCGGCTGAGACGATTTCGAGAGAGACTTGCCCGGGGTGGGCGGAACGGAAGATGAGGTGGAAGCTCGCCGCGACTCCTCTTGAGACCGGCGGAAAGCTATGCGTACCGCCGTGGAAGATGGCGGGGTTGCTGACGTCGACCTCGTGGACCTGACCGATCTCACCGACGCCACCGAGCTGGTCGATGAGTGTCGAATGCGTACGGTCTCGGTCGTGACCGTGCAGGGAGCCGTCTGCTTCGTAGGCCTTGCAGCCTTGGAAGCTGTCGACACCGAGGTCTTCGAGGCTGTCGACATGGCTGATCTCGGCCTTTTCTTTGCGACCTTCTTCGCCCTCGTCTGGCGAGGCCCGGCCTCCGTCGAAGGATCAGCAGGTGTAGAAGCTGATGCCTTCGATCTCGACGTTGATGTCGAAGGTCCGGATACCGCAGCCGACGTCGACGCCGATGTCGATGTTGAGGGTACCGGGGCCAACGTCTGTTGGTACAGAAGGTACCGAAGCCGATGGACTCGGTTCTTGCGGGATTGTGCCGTCAAAGCCTGGCAATGACGACACGAAGAAGTAATATGTGCCTCTCCGAGACACAACAGGCAAAGAGCGTGCTTGTCCGAATCAGGAATCTTCCTCGGACAATTCGCGCATCTTTTGAAGCGAGTTGTTGACATAATCCGGTCAACAACTCGAGAGGCAATCCTAAGAGAATCACTACTATCTATTCCTAGAAGTCCGAAGCGAGCCGTGCGGCGGAAAAAAAGGAATTGGATCGGTGTGCGCGGGGCGCCCTTTTATCCCCTGCCGGGGCTGGGCGGGGTTACCGCCAAAACTTGAAAAGTTTTTGAAAAGTAGAAGTTTCCGTTGGAGCCCGCGCAGGCGCAGTCTCTCCACAAGTGTGCATTCGCAGAGACCACGAAGAAAAAACTGTGTTTGTGGCGTAATGTAAAAATAAACCACACGTAGTTCACATTTGATCAGCCCACACACTGCCTTGCCAGAGAAAGAAAATATGCCACACAGATGAACAATAGAGAACATGTAGTTTATTCTTCGTAGTTCAGAACAACATATATACAATGTGGTTAGTTGAATCAACTCACATAATGTCCTTTTATGATAGATTTAAAATGGTCTTTCTTTGTCCATGTAGAAAAACTCCTTCAGCAGCCCATGAAGCGAGAGCACACTCCAAACTCTGTTTCTCTCTGCTTCACTCTGCTTCTCTCTCAGCACCTGCATAGCTTGAGCCTGAAAAATGTAACAGTAACCAAAAATCCCAGGCTCAGCCATCTCCCCGCACGAAGCTCAAACAATCAGCTTTGCGCATCTTATTTTACAGTTGACGCACACACACACACTAACTGATTTCTTGCATACTCCAATAGTGTTGTATTTATTTTAATCACTAAACTACCTGGAGTCCTGGTTTTGGGGGAAATGGAGTTAATAATAAGAAGTGATCCATCTTCTAAACTCAGCAGTGCGTTTGCCTTTCACTCCAAGAAATATAAAGCGGAGGCACTTTGACACTCCGATTTGTAACATGGTTCAGCATTTTGGCTGAGATTTCTCAGTCTGGAGTTGCGTTTGCACTGAAAAAAGGTTTGTGTATTACTTTTAATGATGGCCTGCATAGTAACCCCTGAAATGACCGTATGAAACCGACAAAATAAAGTTGACATTTGCCAAAGCCTTTGCGCACGGCCTTTTATGTGACAGTTGGAAGAATCAAGTGTTGGGCAATTTTCTCAGTCATGTTTGTATATGGTTGAAAGTTAGCTTTGCTATTTGCTTCTGCAAACAGATGCCTCTGTCTTCCCAAACGTTTGATCAGCCGCTTCAAAAATGACAACATTTACTGGCTTAAAGTAATTTTGCTTCTAATGTATTCCCCAGTTATTCAATAAGTGACCAATATTGAACAGAAGCATAGTGGCAAATAGATGTGAAAATGAGTACATTTTCCAAAATGAAAGACAAAAATCAGGTATGCTCCCTTCTTTATTTGAATATCCAATCTTTGGTAATTTTCTGGTTTAATTAAAGTAGGGAGAAATTGTTATAGAAAATTGGTTTATTTTTGTGCCATTGCAAAAATAAAAAAACCCCTTGTATGAAATGAAAACAAAAAGAAGACAGTAGTCTCTACATGCCACCCTCTTTTAGAAGATCTTGTGGACCATTTGCTCAAGTAGCACAGGTACTTCTCACATGTGCTCTGAAACATTCTTGTTATATTTTCCAGTATTTCAGATGTGACCTTTCAGATTGATGATCAACTCATGGGTTGAATCTTAAGTCTCATGAAACCGTAATGGTCTCTGCAAAATTCATGGGCAGTGACCTTAGGGTTAACCCCTTATGTCATGGTACAAAGCCATCTATTTCTGGGGAACTGAAAGTTATTTCACAATATCTCAAATGTAGAAAAACAGCAGTGCTGGGAGATAGCCAAACTAAGTAGGACAAGCCTCCTCCCTCTTAGTTTCCACCAGCCCCTTCCCAGCATTTTGTCTCTCAACCTTTGCCCGTGGCAATGAACTATATACGTGTCCCATCAGAATAAGCTGTAGCCCAAGTATCTAAGCCGTGAGCACTCCAACAGAGCAAAGAAGCTGCTATCACCTCATTGGGTACTGACGAACAATGGCTTCTTCTACTCTTTCCTTTGGATGGAGATGTCCAGAAAGGAGACTCAGAGATATTGTGATGGTTCTTTTTTTTCTTGCCTGTTTTTGGGGTGAGTACTTTTTCTGTTCTACTTTAGGTTGCAAGTTAGCAAATATGTCTCTCCCTCACCTGTAACTTTACCCCTGCTGTGATGTTTCCATGGTTTGAAGAGTTCTCACTAGACTCATTAGAACAGTGATTCTCAACCTGTTGATCCCCAGTTGATTTGGCCTACATCTCCCAGAAATCCCAGCCAGTTTACCAGCTGTTGGGATTTCTGGGAGTTGAGGCCAAAACAACTGGGGACCCACAGGTTGGGAACCACTGCATTAGAAGGTGGCTGAGACCCATTGGTATCCCACTGGCCAATTTCTGGTGGAATGGGCAGTGCATCTACAAAGCTCACATTTTAACAAATGTATAAATATTAAAGGTGCATCAATTTTTTTGCGGTTTTGCAGCAACATACTAACATGGCTACCTAGTAAAGGATAAAGGCAGAATGAACGTTAATGTTCCTGTAGGAATACAGTGATTTTAAGACCCTACAAAGAGCTTTACTATAACAGATCAAATTCGAAACAGTATTGAATTCTTTGTGAGACTTGCAATAACCAGCACACACTAAACATTGGACTGCATATATCTGAGGAAATGGATTGTTCATCTAAAAGAGCTCAAGGTATAATAAATCTGTTAAATATTGGGGATTATTAACTCAGGTGAACCATGCCTTGGCTTTTTTTTCCGGATTGTGAGTAATCAATGCTAATACAAATAATAGTAGGACAAGTAATAAACGAATCAACCATGGAAGGCTGAAGATAGCAACTACTAAATTAGATGTTGACTCTTAGCCTTGAAATAAAAATAGAAGGGATGTTTCTGAGCACATGCAAAGTTTCATACTGTCAAGTTTAACTTTGATTATTATCATCATTATTTTATTTTGTGCACATTTTCCTCAGTCGAGGGACTCAAAGCAACTTGCAAAATTAGAGGATACAGATAAAAAAGAAAAAAGATAGGCTTGAAAAATATAATTATCAATAGTGTTTTAATACTGTGCTAATATTCATGTAATGAATTCATTAAGCAAGGCAATAATTAACTGAGAATATATTTACTTTATTTTCAGTTGATAAGTTGGGGGAGTACTACAAATCCATATGAGGACACAGGGGACAGAACACTAGGATATCTCATTAACTTGGGAAGAAGTGTAGGTCAAAGAGGTCAGCAGGATGCCTAGATACTCATTTTCTCTCATTCAAATTAAGCCACGTATCCATTTTCCACATAACCATTGTTGGCCAACAGCATTATATTGGAAAAATAGAGCTACTGGAGGATTAGTGGTACCATCCAGCTTGGGCTGCTTGGAAATTTCCCGGTTTTGGACTACAGCTTCCAGAATTGAACAGCCAGTATGGCCATAAGAAAGGTTGAGGTGTGCCCATTGAGCTGGCACTCATAAATTTAATGGCAGTCCCAATTCTGGAATACAGTATAGTCAGGCCTTTTCATTCATTGGGCCAGGAGCACAGAACCTCAGTGAAAGTGAAAAACTTTGAATAAAGAAATTGTTACTTTTTTAGTCAAGAAAACACCTTTCTAGGAATGCCCTTCTCGAGAAGAATCTTCTCGAGAAGATCCAACCCTTCCATACTTCAGGAAATAAAGCCTGACTGTTCACTGGAGGGAAGGATAGTAAGGCAAAGATGAAGTACTTTGGCCACATCATGAGAAGAAAGGGAAGCTTAGAGAAGACAATGATGCTGGGAAAAATTGAAGGAAAAAGGAAGAGGGACCAACCAAGGGCAAGATGGATGGATGGTATCCTTGAAGTGACTGGCTTGACTTTGAAGGAGCTGGGGGAGGTGACAGCTGACAGAGAGCTCTGACGTGGGATGGTCCATGAGGTCACGAAGAGTTGGAAGCGACTAAATGAATGAATAACAACAGAAATGCCGGAGTCTTCCAGCATAATACTATGGACTTCTTCAGACTGTCTTCAGGTTCTGTTTTCATGTGCTTAGGAAACAGACCTCTGTGGGAGTCCCACAGAGGCCATTACATGATGGAAGAGAACTTCTGGCGGGACTCCATGGTGGTCCATTTCCTAAGCGCATGGATATGACCATCTTCAGGAGTAAGGTGTTACCTGATACCAAACTAGAGAAAGTGAGAGAAAGCGGGAGGAAGACAGGAAAGGCACAAAAAAGACACGGGATGCCTGGTCATCCCAGAAGACTTTGAATTGTTACTTTTTTAGTCAAGAAAACACCTCTCTAGGAATGTCTAGGTCCTCCAGCATAACAGTATGGATTTCCTCAGACTGTCTTCAGGCTCTGTTTTCATGCACTTAGGAAATGGATCTCTGTGGGAGTCCCATGGAGGCCATCACATGATGTAAGAGCACTTTTGGGGGGATTCCATGGTGCTCCATTTCCTAAGCGCATGGACACGAACGTCTTCAGGAGTCAGGTGTTACCTGATACCAAACTGGAGAAAGTGGGGGAAAGTGGGAAGAAGACGGGAAAGGCACAGAAAGGACATGGGACATGCCTGGTCATCCCAGAGGACGGGGAAAGACAGGAGGGAATGGGTAAGATTGTTATCTTGCACTGGAGGATCTAGAAACTCCTAGAGAGGTTTTCACTATAGGAATCCCTAGGTCCTGTAGTGTGACTGGGAGCAGTTGACCATAGTGTCATGCTGGAGACTATATTTTCCTAAAGAGAACATTTTAATTGAATCTGTGAACAAACTAATCAGGGTCAGCTCTACTTCAACAGGATACTGCCAGTTAATGCTAGTACAGTAAGCTATATTTCAGGGGAAGAAAGTGGCAAAACTGCCTCTAAGTATCCTTTGATTAACCTATGAAATGCATGGGGCACTTTGGGTACTTTGGAAAGTACCCAAAGATTCTAGTGGTGGTGCCTAAACATTGAGGAAAGTGTATTTATTTTTTAGCAAAGCAGACCTTCTTTTATAAGAGCTCAGGCCAAAAAATAAATGTGTTACACCTGTTTCAGGGCTGATTTGGTTTGGTGCAAATCAAATACCAAAGGAAGGACCTTCTGGAACAATAGCTGTTGTCTGTTTCCATTACTTGAGCATTCATTGTTGTTTTCACACACTCCACAGAAAGGTCCATACTGGCCCAAGACCCAAGGTCCACACTGGTCCACTTGGTGGATCTTATGGACCATCTCTCCAAGGCTTCTCATACACTGCCATATAATCCAGATTATCAAAGTGGATTTTTTTTTGTCGTGTCAGGAGTGACTTGAGAAACTGCAAGTCGCTTCTGTTGTGAGAGAATTGGCCGTCTGCAAGGATGTTGCCCAGGGGATGCCTGGATGATTTGATGTTTTTATCATCCTTGTGGGAGGCTTCTCTCATGTCCCCGCATGAGGAGCTGGAGCTGATAGCTCATCCGCCTCTCCCTGGATTCGAACCTGCGACCTGTCGATCTTCAGACCTGCCGGCACAGGGGTTTAACCCACTGCACCACCGGGGGCTCCATCAAAGTGGATAACCCACATTATCTGATTTGAAATTGTTTGCCTGAGTCTACACTGCCATACAATTCAGTTCAAAGCAGCTAATGCGGATTTTATATGGCAGTGTAGAAGGGACCCAAGAAACCAAAAAGGGCCAGAACTTTGCAAGGAACATTCTCTGTCCACTAGATTAAAAAATAAAGCAAGACTGAAAGTGAAGAGAAACTTAAACTTTGATCACAGCCTATTATCAGGTTGCCAAATCAGCAAAGGTACACAAATAAAACATTTTGGGATCAATGTGTAGATTGCAGAACAGGGATTGTTCAGCCCTCCACATATGCTCCCAATCAGGAAAAGAACTCGCATGTCCGGATGTCAATAGTGGACATTTTATCCAGAATATAGACAAAAGGATAAAGGATTTTAAAAACCCTCTAATTATGATGCCAACCTTATTTGGGCCTTCCTTCCAATGGTACAGTAAAGTCTCGCTTATCTGACCTTCACCTATCTGACATTCCGTCTTATCCAACACTCTTAACCGATGACCCCCTTTTCCTCAAGCATTTTCCCTTCAATTAAAGGAGCACTCCCCAACTCTTTCTTCATTCCCAGTAAGTGAAAAAGGCAAGACAAGGAGGAGGAAGAGGCAGGAAAGGGGGAAAAGGACCAGAAACGAAAGTGTCCTCCCTCCTTCCCTTTGATTTCCACACTTCTCTTCCACATCCGGGCACTTCCTGGTGAGCTGCTCTAGCCCTGAGATATTGCCTTGCCCTAACCCTTTGAGTCCCCGTTGTTAGTATTCTAGATGTCTAGCGCCGCGTCGGACAGGTAACAGTAGGAGACTCCATATTATCCAACATTTTTGTTTATCTGACATTCTGCCAGCCTGTTTATGTTGGCTAAGTGAGACTCTACTGTATAAAAGTATGTTTGTCTGTTCTATCTGTACCACAAAGGCTGTTGCTAGGTGAAGTATGACGTCACTGGATTGTAAGTTGCTAGGTGAAGTTGCTCTCTGTGATGTCACTAGGAAGGAAATTTAACTTGAGTATGAGAGGAAAGGAAGAAGGAAGGAAAGAAAAGAAAAGAAAGGAGAATGGAGGGAGCGAAAGAAAGGTGAAAATGTATTGTGGGTTGAGGAAAGAAAGAGAGAAAAGGAAAAGGAGGGCAGTGGGTCCTCTGACACCCAGGCAATGCCTGGTATATACACTAGTAAATAAATAAACACCAAAGCACTAAACTGCATTCTTAACATCATCTGAAAGAGGGGTCTGAACTTGAAGTTGTTTTTTTTAAATCGTGCAGTTAATCTGGTTAGATGAATCACAAAGTTCTTGGGCTTCTCTACTCCAAACATGTCCCTTCACAAGAATAAACAGAATCAAAGTACACCAGGACACCTTCATAGCTGTATTAGAAGAATGGATTTTAGTGGATGTACTTCCTTATGTTGTTTTGTTGTTGGGAAAAATGCCCCTAGTCAAAGTTTCCTCTCCTCTTCAGTTAGTAATAATACAAGACCTCTGGTTATTTTTACACATGGTGACTCCAA